ATGGTTCATGGGGTCACGAAGAGTCGGACACGACTTAACGACTAAACAACAACAACTCATAAAGAGCTTGCGGTTAAGTTTCAAGAGGATGTGGGAAGAGGGCTGGTTTTGAGGTATCCAGAAACCGTGGAGTGACCTTGTTATGAGACCACCTGCAGCCCTGGTGTAAACTAAAGCTAATGAACATAGTAAACTGCACACCCTTCAGGGAGAAATTTTAGAAAACAGAGAACATGCTAAGCTCACCATGGGATGTTAGTATGCAACATGGAATCAGGTGTGTCTGTGCAACAATGTAACCCATCATGTTTTTCCATACCTACTTCCCTGTTTTTAAAGATTGATGTAAAACTCTACGGAGGTTCTTCTCCTTAGAGAGACGGGACCCTTTTTTGCTGAAGCACTTCAATAAAAAAAAAAAAAATGAAAGGATTCCCTCACTCGCTGTGTTGATTGGACCTTGCGTGCCGGGCAGACGAACCTGCCCCTCTTTTGTGGCCCACAGGTGGAGCTTGCCTCTGGTGGCCACAGGACATGTCCTAGTCAACCCCAATTTTTTCACAAGTACAACTCTCAATCCAGATGCTCCTCATGATGTATATACAGTATACACTCGAATTTCCTAAGTGAAGAACGTTGCATTTGTCTCCAAGAGATTTCTCCTCGCTATTCCGCCTTTTCTCCTACCCTCTCAAGCTTGTTTTGAAGCTGGAGTCTGCTTTAGAACTTGACCCATCCGATTGTGCATCATCTGCAAACTTAGAAGTATTCCCCCCTTTTTCCAAGTCATTAATTTTTTTTTTTAAGGTAGGGGACCCAGGGCTGAGTCTTGTGGCATCTCACCCAAACCCGTCTTTCGAATTGGATGAGAAACCAATGGCCAATTGCTTATACGTAGCCATTCTCACTCATTGCTAGGTGGAAAAGATGCAGAAACCCGACTTTGTCCCTGCCAGGAACGTATGCGAAAACTTTCAGGGATCTTACAAGAAAGCAAAACTGAAGATCACTGCTGACATCTCAGAAACGTCTCCCCTATTTGGAAGTCAAAACGCACATTTATAAAACAAGACGATTTGATCGTCCCCACTCGCTGCCCTCCGGACACCCCGACCTTCAAGGCTCCCAGAACACCTCTCGGCAGAAAAGCCGGCGCCTCTTACACTCAAGTGCCTGAAAACGACTGATTTGCCGGAATCGCTGCCCAGCAGAAAGTGAAACTGAAAAGGCTGCCCTTTAAAGGCGCGCCGCTGCTGGCGCTTCGCAAACCTCGAGACGCTCGCAGAGGAACCGGCGGCTTTGTCTCCCGTGCAGCCCGCGCTTCGGAACCCGGCCACTGCCGACGTGAGTACGCAATCGCTTTCGGGAGTGCGATTTTTACGTTGCTTCCAGCGGGTTGCATCCTCAGGGGAGCAGAGCCTTCCTCCCTCGGGAGCTGGAAAATGCAGAGGTTTTTTTGGTGGGGGGGGAGGAGAACGAGAGGGTTGGCATATCTCGCAGGGGGCAGCAGAATATTCTGATTTCTATTTGAAATTCTATTCTATTTGATTCTAAATTCTATTTGAAATTCTAAATTCTATTTGATTCTCGTTCCAGGAAATGGGATTCTCTTCCCCATCTCCTTTCTCTCTCTGTTTAAATTCATCTTTATTCAGAATTTGCCCATAGTGTAAAAGACAAATATAAATGGGATGCATAAAGAAAAGAAAATAAATAAATCGAAAGGAAAGAGAGAGAGAGAGAGAGAGAGAGAGAGAGAGAGAGAGAGAAACAAAAAAAGAAAGTGCAGAAAAAGAAAAGAGAAATTAAAGTTGAGAAATGTATAAGGGGTTTCTGACCGTCTTTTCAAGAGATCGTTGCCATCTTGTCCCCCCTCCCTCTGAAGTACTCTGCAGATCCCTCAAGTCCCTCAGTTAGTCCAAGTCTATTTTAATCTTTAAATCCAAAAACCTTAATGCCATTTCTTTCTTCTTTCAGCCAAAAGTCCATATAAGGTTTCCAATCCCCCTTTCCCTTCTGTTTTGCCCTTTGAATGCCAGTCACCTGAGGGAGGGGTGGGGAGAAAGAATCGTAAAAACCTTTTTTAAAAAAGGCAATTGCTGAGTTTCTCCTTTTCAAAAGCCTTTTGGGGGCTGCTGTTCATTAATATGCTTGGCTTCCTTAAAGCTCCCCGGCTCCCCTCCTATGAACAGCCCACCCCACATCTGCACCTATTCCCGCCTTACGTTTCTGAAGAGCCCTTAAAAACTTGGCTTGTCTGGAGGGCTTTGAGGAATGAGTGAAGATCATATTTATTTATTTTTATTTTTCAAAATTTATATATGCCGCCTGCCTCACTATACAAGTGACTCTAGGTGGCGTTGCAGATAAAAAACTAGAAAATCCTAGAAAAAAAATATAGGCTAAAAACTACAAAAGGTTAAAATGAAGCTAAAAAGTTAAAACTACGGTGCAAACTAAAAAGGCGGGAAGAGCAGCCTGAGGCTACCAGCCACCCCCAGTGCTGCAACCCCCCACTGGATCCCCATGCAAGTTGGCAGAGCTCCCTTTCGAAAGGCCAACAGGGTGGGGGCCAAACTCACCTGGAGGGGGCAAGAGTCATGGCAGAAAAGGTTCTCCTCCTGGACCCTGCCAGTTTAGACTCTCTAGGCCAGTGTTGTCCAAACTTGGCCACTTTAAGATGTGTGGACTTCCACTCCCCAAAATTTCCCCCCCCCCCCGGCCGCGGGGGGATTTTTGGGGGTTGAGTCCACACCTCTTTAAAGGAAGAAAAATTGTGCAAAACATCCT